AGGTCTGACCCCAAAAATAACCTTCTGATAGCTGGAAATAAGTCCTGGATTGGCCACAGAGTTGAAAATGGGGCTACTCACGGAGATTTTGGTGAAGATGGAGAGCAGGAGCACCAGGCTGGAGAGATACACCCAGATCCTCTCCCCTCCAAAGCTCTGCTGGAGATGCTCAGGAATTGTGACAATCTGCCAGGGAGGGAGAGCCATCAGTGCCCTGTGCAGGCCCCATCCTCCCGGGATGGTGCTGGCAGGGCAAGGGGACAGCAGGATTCCCAGAGCAGAACTTGTGCATCCCCCAGGATTCCTGGGAGCAGGGACCTGTCCAAGGCCACGCTCCCCACAGCAGGCTCAGGGCACTGTCCATACCCCGGGTGAGGGGCAGACTGGCACAAACACCCAGGCCAGTGCCAGAAGGGCATAAATTGCCTGTCAGGAAGGAGGAAAGACAGAAAAATATATGGCCACTGATGCAGCTCAAGGCTGACTGCATCCCAGACCCTGGCTCTGCTCCTGATGCAGCCCTGGCCCACCCTCGAGGGCACATTTGCACCCACAAATGCCTTCAGATACCCTCGATACCCTTTTGGGGGTGCTGGAGACCCCCTGGCATCCCTGCCAGCAGGATCCTGCTTCCCTTCAGCCCTTCAGCTCCTGACTGGGCACTTCCCACCAACTCCTTGAGCACCACAAAATGGGGATTTTTTGTTTGTTTTGGGTTTTTTTTCTGGGTTTTTGTTTTGTTTTATTTTTGGGTTTGGTTGGTTTTTTTGTTTTGTTTTTGTTTTGGGGGGTTTTTTTGTGGGGTTTGTTTTTGTTGGGGTTTGGTTTTTTATCTCCAGTGTCCAAGGACTTTGGGGGAAGCAGGGAACGGGTGACCCATTCAGCCACGTCCCCGGTAGGACCTGCAGGGGCCGGATTAGCAGCTCGGCTCCAAAATGTCCCTTTCCCAGAGCACGTGGAGCTGACTGACTCCAGCCTCACCGCAGGACACCGGGGAAAGCTGAGTTAGCAGGGCTGCGTTAATTACCCCCTGCGCGGCTCCTCCCGAACCTTTCGAGGCTGTGAAATGGCCCATCTGCTGCGACAGAGCTCATTGCCCTAATGACAGGGCACGTTTGTGACACGACTGGGGCCGGCGACAGCGACACGGAGCCTTCGCTGCAGGGGCTGTGCCAGCCCCACCAGCTTTGGTGCTTCCCCAGGGGATAACTCGGGAAAAGGAGGTGGGAAAAATATGATTTGAATTAGATCAACAGGGTAAGGGTATCTCTGTTGTTACTGAAAGTAAAGCGTGGCCAAAGAGCCCCCGTGTGGGATGAGGGATGCAAGAAAATGCTTTTTTTAGCACATAAATTCAGGTAGAGGAATGTGATGCTCCCGTAGCCCAGCTCATCTGGACATCCCTGCTTGTTGTGGTGTTTTCTTCACCTGCTGGGTTTGGGATTGACTTTCCTGTCTCCAGGAGGATGAGGAGCCACACGGTGCTGTGGTTGCCACAAACCCTGCTGGAGGTGCAAGGAAAAGGACCAACACAGCCAGTTTGTCAAGATCAGGCAGAAATAAGAGGGGAAAAAAAGGAAATTTGGGACTGCCTAGTCTGTTGGAGTCACCAGGGACATGCAGGAATGGTGGAGATGGATGTTTGGCCCCACAGATCCCTCCCCAAGCTCAGAGCAGCCCGTGGGGAAAACCCAACAAACTCCAGCATCCTCTGTGCAAGGAGAAGGGAAAACAGCTCCAAGGACATAAATTCTGGCAGGAGGAGTTGGGCAGGGTGGGGGAAAGCGTGGGCAAGCAGTGGAGGGAGCAGGGGGGGATTCAGTGTGCCCAGGGTGTCACAAGAGGGACACACAGGTCTGTCTGTACTTGCTGCCCACCAGGCCATGGCACTCCAGCCACTGACAGTGCTCCTGTTCACCCTGCAGGAAGACTGGGAGGAGGAAGGATCAGCACAGAGCACCCTTTTCCCTAAAACCCAGACAAGTCACCAGCACCCAAGTCTCCCAGACAAGAAGCCGAGAGACAGGAGACTCGATAATTAATGGGAGCTCTGCAACTCCAGCTTAATTACCCCAAACGGTGGCTGCAGCCCAGGCACCTGGAGCCATGAATAGCAAAAGGAAGCACCTGGAGAGGGGAAGCAGGGAGGATGTTCCTGCCCTAGTGCCACCCCCAGCAGACAGGCTGGCTCGTAGGACACAGCTTTGGCCGGGATTTTTCTGCAAGGCAGAATAAATGCAATTGCAGAGTCTCTTTCTGAGGCTGCTGCATGCCACCCCCAGCAGACAGGCTGGCTCGTAGGACACAGCTTTGGCCGGGATTTTTCTGCAAGGCAGAATAAATGCAATTGCAGAGTCTTTTTCTGAGGCTGCTGCTGATCCTTGTTGCTGTTATCAGGGTTCTTATCAGGGCATTTGGCTCAACACCCTGTAATAGACAAGGGGCAGAGCTGCTCACACCCAGCAGACACAGGCTGGGGGAGAGATGGTTAATTGGTTAATTCTGTGCTTAATTCCACCTTGCTCCCAGGCTATTTCCATAGGGGGTGAAAGGGGCAGAGGATTTATACAAAACAGAGCAAGCCACAGAACCCCAAAAGGGTTTGCATTGGAAGGAACCTTAAATCTCACCTTGTTCCAAAACCCTTCTACCATCCCAGGTTGCTCCAAGCCCTGTCCAGCCTGGCCTTGGACACTCTCCAGGATCCAGGGGCAGCCACAGCTTCTCTGGGCACCCCGTGCCAGGGCCTGCCCACCCTCACAGGGAGGAATTTCTTCCCAATACCCCATCCAAGGCTGCTCTCTGTAGCAGGAAGAAGCCATTTTTCCTCATCCTGTCACTCCAGGCTCTTGTCCAAAGTTCCTCTCCAGCTCTTCAGGCACTGGGAGGGGCTCTGGGGTATCCCCAGACCTCTCTCTTCTCCAGATGAGCACCCCCAGCTCTCCCAGCCTGGCACCACACAGCATAGCACACAAAATACACAAGTGAAAATGACAAGAAAATAATAGAAGTTTTCAAATATTCCATGCAGAAAATATTCCAGCCCTGAAAAGAAAATGTATTCAAACAAGAAAGCAGAAAGGAACAAAAGGCTCTTAGCCATATTCCCACACCAACGTTTAAGGGAAAATAAACCACTACAACAAGGTCAGAATGCTGAACTGTGTGAGGGGGTAACAGATCCAGCAGAAGTGAACTCCTTCATTCCTCTGCCTCCTTCTTCATCCTCAGCCTCCAGGGTGACTGAATCAGGAACTCATTAGCAGCCCAAGGGCGTTTATCACTGAACAGCAGCAGGAATTGTGCTTCCAAAGGTGCCCGGGTGGGCAGCCTGGCCCCCACTGCTTCCACCCTCCCCAGGGAGCCAAAACCTCCTGATTTCAGTGTCTCACAGAGGGGCAGGGCTGAGAAATGTCTGAGTGATGCCTCGTGTGCTCCCCTCGACCACTCCAACACTCCCAATGGCCAAAGGAGCAGCAGCCCAGCCTCATGGGTGCAGTTTGCTCCCAAATTCCTGAGCCCTCACCAATAGATTTGTATAATTGCATGAAACCAGGCTGGCAGAGTTGAGGGTTTCTGTGTTTTAGAGCAAACATCCAACAGGAGTTGGGTGAATGGCTGAGGTGGAGCCTGGCATGGCAGCAAGGGCTGACCAGGAGAGACCCCCACAGAAGAGATCATGGAATCATCTGGCTTGGAAAAGTCCTGCAAGATCATTCAGTCCAACCATCATTCCACATCTACACTGCTTTTAAATCCCTGGAGATTCCAGCACTGCTCTGGGCACTCTGTGCCAATGCTTGACAACCCTTCCCATGAGATTTTTCCTAATATCCAACCTCACCTCTCCTGGTGCAGCTTGAGATTGTTTCCTCTTGTTAACTGGGAGAAAAGACAGCATCCTCCTGTCAGGGAACTGTGGAGAGGAGGACAGCAATTCCTCTAAAGGCCAACACAGGAAACCACCTCAGAATCCCTTGTTTTGGGGTACTCAGCCATCAGTTTGCTGCACTGGACGCTTGTCTGGCTCATTCCCGAGTGGCAGCACACCTCCACAAGGCCTCACTAATAAAATAAACACGTTAATGTGCCCATCACTGAGTCGGGTCAGCATTTCTCCTCTTTGAAGGAGCCCCGCAGCAGCAGCAGCGGGAGCAGCTCTGCACGTCCCTGAAAGGAGCCGACCTTCCCCGCCAGTGCTCAGCTGGAATTTGACCTGCATTAACACATCCAAAGTAGCCACACGTGTCAATAAATCAGCCTGCTGTATCCATTAACATTGAGGAAAGCACCTGGTTTTATCCTTTCAAGTCAATGAACCCTCCAAAGTCCTTGGAAGTTTGTCTCCAACATAGAAACGGTGTCAACAAAGGTTAATTTTCACTTGTGAACACGCCAAAAGCTTTACACTCATTTGTAGGACACGATGGAAAGATTAAACCAAACAGCCTCTAAATGCTCATCAATTCCAGCACTGTTTTCTCTGGGCAGGTGAGGAACTCTCTGAGGAACTCTCTGGGACTGGGAGCTGCTGCCTGGCAGCCAGCCGGCCATGCCACCCACACCTGCCCAGGGAGGGCTGGGAAAACACACCCGGGCAAGTTCAGCTCTGCTCATGGCACATTCTTCAGCTCATCCACGCATTCAGGGCAGGCAAGAAATCTCAAAAAAACCCCCCCAGTTTACCTGTGATGGGCTGGTTTGGATTTTACCAGCTGGAACCTACCCACAACATTCCCAAGTCAAAGAGTGACAGAATGGTTTGGGTTGGGAAGGATCATCTCATTCCAAACCTTGCCATGGCAGGGACACCTTTCCCTGTCCCAGGTGGCTCCAAGCCCCATCCAGCCTGGCCTTGGACACTTCCAGGGATCCAGGGGCAGCCACAGCTTCTCTGGGAATCTGTGCCATGTTCTGAGCAAGTCCCTGTTGCTCCCTGACACCCACCTGCCATATTTAAGGACACACAGTCTAGAAGACAAAGGAGCAGCACATGAACATTTTTAGAAAGCTCACACAAAACAAGTCTTTATTCTTTGTCGCAGAAAATAAATACAGGTGCATATTCCATATGCTTTTCTATAAAAGCACTCCTACAAAATCACTGAACTGCATACAACAGTACAACCTTTTTGGCTTTTAAAATGCAAATATTATACAGTCACTTCATTTTATTATCATTTAAAGCACTTGTAGCAAGCAGCTTTGGAAAAGGAATGCTTAATTTAGAAGCCAAATTCTTGCCTCAAGTGTTTTGTGGGATTTTTCCATCGTGTATAGTGCAACTAACCTAAAAGCAACTAGAACAGTTTTTTTTGTAAAACGTTTATTCCCACCAACCCCCCCACTCCAAAAAAACCCATCAAAGGAAAAAAAAAGTCTTAAAAACTGTTCTACCTTGATACTTAAACCAAGAGAAACAAGAAGTGGCTCAATGGAAATATTAAGGTAAGCACAACGCTTCACAGCTCGTTCTCTGTTCGCTTCCAGTTTGGCCCGGGGTGTTTCTTGAGAGGAAGAAAAGCTTTAATCATCCACTCCTATATTCCTGAAAAGGTAGGACATGGACTCCCCATTGTGGATCCTGCGAATGGCTTCTGACAGGATCATGCTGATATCCACAGTCTTGATTTTAGGGCACTGAAGTTTTTGTATTTCATGTGGAATTGTATTTGTAACAACCACCTACAGGAAGAAGAAATGCTCAGGGAGATGTAGCTCTGTTGTTTTCCACCTTTTATACTGGAAGGGTGAAAGGGCCTTTTAGAGATCCCACAAAACCACTCTGGCTGACAAAACAACATTTTACATTACTGTCAGGGTCACAGTGTGAGGAAGAGCCGTGTGTTCCCACAGGTTCCATGTATCCATGGATACCAATGGCACTGTCCCTCCTTCCTTTCATTCATTCCCTCTGCCACACAGATCCAGAGGAGGTACAAAAACATCCCACCACTGAAGAGAAAGGTGTGCTGTACTGACAGTCCAGCACCTCACCACTTCCCACATCCCCACTGCTATATTTGAGGACATGTGGATGCTAATACTCCAGCACACAATCCCACAGTAAGAGAGCCTGAACCAGGAGCCTCCCATCTAAATCCTTAATGCCAGCATGTCACAGACATAATTTATGAAAAATCCTTTTGCCAGGATCTTTCCTCCTGAGAAGATGGGAAGCTTCAGCTTCCCCATGTTTTGCTGCTTTGGAATGTGATTTGGAGAACTGTTTACACCCCATGTGAACCCTTCCCTTCCCTTCCCTTCCCTCTCCTTTCCTTTCCCCTGTCCTTTCCCCTTTCCTTTTTCCTTTCCTGCTTTCTGATGGATCCTTTCTCTCTATTCTAGTATAGTTTTAGTACAGCATTTTAAAATAATATAATATCATAATAGAATAAATCAACCTTCTGAAACGTGGAGTCAAGAGTCTCATCTCTTCCCTCATCCTGGGGCCCTCAAACACAGCCATACCAGCATATGTCAAGAATCAATTCAGGAGAAAATGGCTGCTGTGAAAAGCCCAAATCCCCTGCTCAGAGCTCAGACCCCACACTCACTTCGTCGATGGCAGACTCCTCGATCAGCCGGGGAGCATCTGAGGACAGCAGGCCATGGGTGGCCATGACAAAGATCTTGTAGGCCCCTCTCTCCTTGAGGGTCTCAGCTGCAGCCAGAAAGGTGTCAACGTCATCGATGATGTCATCCTGCCAAAATCCCAGAGTCACTGAGGGTTCACCACACCAGACAGGCCAACGCAGCACACCTGACTGACAGCACAGCTTTACCAAGTGTAACAAACCCCAAACTATCAGAAAATTGTTCTTTTCCTTGACAAGCCCAGAGATTACACTCTGCTTTAGAGAAAAGTGCATCAAGGAATGACAGAATGGCCTGGGTTGGAAGGGACCTTAAGGATCATCTCATTGCAAGCCCTGCCATGGGCAGGGACCCCTCCCATGAGACCTGGTTGCTCAGAGTTCCACACAGCCTAGCCTTGAATGCTTCCAGGGATGGGGCCCCCACAGCTGCCCTCACAGGGAAAAATTTCTTCCTTAAATCCAATCTAAACCTACTCTCCTGTAAGTCTGAAGCCATTCCCCCTCGTTCTGTCACTGCAGGCCCTTATAAATAGTCTCTCTCCATTTTTCTTGCAGGCTCTCCTCAGGTACTGGACAGCCACAATTAGGTCACCCCAGATCCTTCTCTTTTCCAGGCTGAGCAATCCCAGTTCTCTCAGCCTTTCCTCACAGCACAGCTGCTCCATCCCTCTGATCATCTTGGTGGCCTCCTCCAGACTTGTTCCAACAAGTCCACGTCCATCACCTCAGCCTCACTGGCATTTCCCAACTCAGCAGCAGGAACTGGGTGATTCTCCCCTCCTCCTGTGCTGTGCATGCAGCACTTTGAACCCTTCAGGTCAGCACTGAACAGAATTCCACTTGCTCTGCTCATGGAAACAAGGTCCCAGTGCTGCTCCCAGAGTGGATCCCCTCAGAGTCCCAGCCAGCTCTGTGAGTGTGCTCAGTGCTGCCCCATCCTATCAGAAATCCACCAGCAACCAAAGTTCAGTGGCTGATACAGAACAGCTACTTGATTTCTGCAACTTTGACATGTTTAATATCACTGATGGCATGTCACTTACCACAATGATAGCTATTCTTCCTCCTACATCTCCAACAACTGTGATGGGTGGCTTTTCCTTGGGAATCAGCACTGATTAATGGCAGATGTTTTTAGAGGGGTAAAAAGGAGAAAGAAAAGAGGAAGTTTATATAATTTATTTGTGGAAATGTCTGATGGGTCACCACTATTAGAGACACGAAGCAGCAACTATTTCAACATCACTACTAAAGAAAATTAGCAAGATTCTGATACATAAATATTTTTAAAGCTTAATTAAAATATTAATTATAGTAATTTTTATCTGAATTCTTTACAAATTCAATTAATTCTTAATTTCAGCACAGAAAGAGTGGCTTGCAAACACAACCAGTCCAATCACCCATTGACACCCACGCTGGGTTTGTGCCCTGCAGTGTTGGTGGTGCAGCTGTGGGTCACATCCACACTCCAGCAAGAATCATCTTCTCCCCACCAAGAAAGATTTTTTTTTCCTCTGTGAAGAACCACTCCTTTTAGCCAACCCACCCCTGCCAAACCCAATCCCTAAAGCCACAAACCCACCAGGTAACACCTTCCCCCACACACTTACTTACTGGGGATCTCCAGGCTGGGGTGGATGGCAGCCACGTACTTGGCTGTGGGAGGGGAGTGCCGGCCATCCACCATGTCAGACTCAGCATCCTGAGCTTCCCCGTGGATCACGGCGATGCCCAACCGCAGGCGCTCGGCGAACGACTGTGCCCTGCAGGGGAAGGGTTAACAGAGCCCAGGAAAAGGTTAGAAAAGGTTACACTTCAAGTAACTCACCTGTGCACAACCCTATTTCCATTTTATTTCTAGTGTTTCAGAGGGAAGTCAGACGATCTTAAAATTTTAGGAGAATTCATAGAAGAAATCAGTTGCTTCTCAGGATCTTTTTTTATCAGGCTTGGTAAAGTCAGAGTAACCTTCAAAGGGCCTTAAAGCAGCAGGATGAATGCTGCAAGTCACAAAATGCTGACTGCTCCCTTCTGCTTTGCCCAAGAGCCAAAATAACACTTCCCAGCCTTCAGGGATCCCATGCTTTAGCTGGACACATCTAACAGTAACCAAGAACAGTGTTGATGTCTGCATTGTCAACAATTAATAGGAAAAAAATACTCATATAAAAAAAGAAGTGAAGTGTTCACCTATTCATTTACTAGTAAATAAAGACAATGTCCCTGACCTGCTGGTACATAACCTGAGATACCCTATGGAAAAGGGGATCCAGATGATCATTCTGCCTGACAAACCACACTTGGGAGTTGAACAGCTTGGATTTTTTAATTAGCTGACATGAAGTTCTTTCACACTGCAATATTTCTTCAACCAAAATTAGAAATTTCTGTAATGAAGTGTAAGGTTAGTTGGGGGAGTGGGAAAAGCAGAGTCAGGAAAATAGGAATTTGCATCCCAGATATTGGAAGCAGCAAATACTAATTGGCACATCCACCCCAGCTCACCTTGCACACCCAAGGGTTTGGGATCCTGCCTAAGCCACACATCCAGGTCTGCTCTGGCCCAAGCAAGCCCAGCACATCCAGAGTGATTCACCCTGCCCTAACATCAGCACCTCAGACCAGAGCCTGAATCACCTCCTCTGTCCTTAAGCCTTATTTCAAAGGGCTTTGAAACAATATCCAAACAATACAAAGTCCAGAGAATAATTTGCCCATCGTGATACTTAGTTAATTAAAAATTAAGAATCTTCCACCCTGTGGTTATCATACAGTTGCAATATATTTGCAAGTAGTTAATTATAGGTAATTATAATTACAAACAATAAGAGCTATGATTTAGCAGGAATAATCCTATCAATAAAACCGTATTAATGACCTTAAAATGCAGTATTAAACTGAATAAAGTTCAAAATAACAGCCAAGTGATTTGTTCATTTCCAGTGAGCTCAGAAACCACAGAGACATTCTGAACTTCACCACACAGGGGTTCTTTTTCACAAGCAGGCATTCATCAAAAGTATTTTCCTAGATTGTTTTCAGCCTGGATTAGGCTGAAACATCCAATTATCCCTCTCCCAATACAATGTAACTCTACAGATATTGTCCTTAAATACTCATAGGAACATGTGAAGAAGCTAAACAATACACTTGTGGGATCCTCTCCTCCACAAATCACTGCATGATGTGCAACTCATCTGTCTATTTGCTGGCATTGACAATTACTGGATGAGCATTAAAATGCTGCAACAAACACTTGCCTCCACCCAAGAGGCAAGAGTGACACTGTGGAAGAGAAATGGAAAAGAAACAAATGTAAAATTACCTGGCCAAAACAAAAGAAATCACAAAAAGTACTGCTGGAGAAATAGATGAAAAAAGGTGGTTTGCTCCAGAAAATAAGGAACACACAGAGTATCACAATTCTCTGGCATGGAAGTCCAAATATCTTTTCAAAAAACTCTTGGTTTGTCACCACAGCAAATACAGCCTTTCTTAAAGCATCATCCAGCTCTTACAGCACCTGCTGACAGCAGGTAATTCCAGAGTTTAGGAACAGTCAACTAAAAAGCTTCATGGATTAAGAACAGCCATTCACCCACCAAAGACTTGACAATCACAATCACCTCAAACAGCAAACCCAGTTTCACCATCTGTGTTTAGGATCTGATCAGCCATGCTCTTAGTTATGCCCATGTTAAGAAACTCATCTGGATTAATGGCATTAACTTCCAGCCACTTTTCCTCATTTGCAGCAGGAGATTTATAATGTAAAAGCACACAAATATAACATGATTAAAAATCTTCTTAATCATAAGCATTTACCACCTCCTTTTGTATGGGTTTTTTTTTCACTCTCCTTAGATTTATTATGATTACAGCAATGATGTAAGAAGTACACAGCTGACAGAGGAGAATTGGGAGTGGTGTGAAGGCTGCATATTCTAATTACTGGGTATTTGTCCTTCACTTGATCCCAAGAACAAAATCCCAAAAGAGATTTCCTGCTCTAAGGCAAGAGAGCAGATCTTACCCACCTCTTTGCAGATGCAGGAGATTTGGCCACAATTACAGCATTCCTGTAGTCTGGTATCTGTAGTAAATAACAGATAGCAATGTCCACTTCATATCTTTAGACAAATTTAAACTCAGTAAGAATCAGAGAACTTTATTTTGCCAGAAGAATTGTAAGCATTGAACATTTTACCTAAGAAAGCAACCTCAGGAATCCATGGTACATGATCAGGGTTGACAGCTCAGTAAAAACACATATTTAGAAAATTCAGATATCAACTTCAAACTGTACCTTTTATAAACCCCATTTTATAGCACAGGTAGCAGAAAAGCAACTGCTTTAGGACACCAGGGTTACACCTACAAGTGTTGAAAGAAACAGGAAACCATCAAAATTAAAGTTTCCTGCTCAACAGAAATTGTCTTTCATCACTAAAACCCAGCATTTTACAACTTCCTACTGTCTTATAGAGTACCAAGAAAAGTCACACCTCTCCATCATATCACACTGACTCTTTCTCTGGACTACCAGAAGGGATAAAACTTCCACAGCCATTGCAGAGATCCTGGAGGCAGTCTCACAGTGCTGCAAACCCTGCCATGCTGGTCAGCACCAGGAGATGCTGCTGCAAATGCAGACAGCAGCAGAGGGATGAGGCCAGCAAGTCTGGGTTTCCCTCTGATGTCTGACATGTGCTTCAGTCAGGCTACAAGCACAGTCTGCTCCTGAGTTTGCTGCCCCTGCCCCATCTCATACTGGTTTTTCACTCCACACTCCTGATCCCCATTTAATTAGCATTTTAGTCCCCATGTCTAAAAGTTTCTTATTCTCATCTCTATTTTCCCTGCAAACAGTGACTCCACATCAGATTCATCTGGCTTGTAACTTCCCAAGCATTCCACCATCCATACTTCCAGATCTCCCTTCCAACAGCAACTACAACTGCACTCCCTCTGGTATCTCATTTTACCCCACTCCTTGCAAACTCAGCCTTTCCCTTCACTGTGCTGGGATGATCCATCTCTGTGGAGAGCAGCTCAGAGAACCTGTCTGTCCTTCTAGCCAAAAACCACAGGCCTGAGCCAAGCAAAGTCCTCAGAGCAGGTCCAGTCCCCAGAATCCCAGTGTTAAGGGATGGAAGACTCTTCACTAAATACCTGAAAATTGAGCTGTTAGGGGTGGGATTCACAGATTTGTGGGGATGACACCCTGTCATGCAGCTCAGCACCTTGTCAGATATCAAATACCCATTCCAGAGCACAGAAATACTTGGGGTTTCTGCAAACATAGGCAAAGTTCTTCCACAATCTGATCCACAATATACAAACTGCACTGCCTGATTATTTCCAAAAGCTCTACCTGAAATGGGCATGGGAAAAAAAAAATTAGTTCAGAATTTGGGCAAGGGCTCAACCAATGGAAAATAAGAAATTTGCTGAGCACGTCAGGCAACACTAATAACCCACAATGTTAGTAACTCCACCTATAAACTGGGAATTCAGCACGTTCTGTCCTTCACAAACACTGAGTTATACAAGAGGCTACAAGATTAACATGACGGAAGGCATGGACAAGGCAGGGCCTGTCACTCGACATAACAAAGGCTTTGATCTAGTTCAGACACCACTGCCTCATTTTTCCTCTGCCAAATTACCAAATTTGTTCTCAGCTCTTCAAAAATGAAGTCAGAAAGCCAGAAATGTCATCCCAAAGACTCTGAGGTGTCAACATGTCCATGTAACAAAGGGCTGTGTCACTCTGGGATTAACACCTGCTAAAAGGAAAGAGAAGCCACGAAGTTTCCAACATCTGCCAAGCACACCAAACTAAACACCCAACTACTTTCATATCACAGGAATTTCACTGATTGGACTGTCTTCATCCCAGAACAGCAACTGATTCTCTTCACGTCTAGGCATACATTTCTAACAGGGAACAACTACAAGCCCTCATTCTCCTAACTTTCAGTGAGATGTTTTTTAAGTGACTTGCGTTCTTATCACCTGGACTCCATTTCATGCTCCTCAGTACATCCCACCATGATTCCCACAGCTTTGAAAGCTCTGGCTTTCCCAGAGCAGGATATCCAGCAAGTTGTGGCCACCAGGAAGTTGAGATGAATACTAAATTCCCCCTGAGCAGGAAAGGATCAAGATTTTAAGCACAGATACTATAAATTATCTGGCTGCTGAAAGTATTTGCCAGAGATCCCATGTGATCAGATCCATTTAGTTAACTCTGGTTTTAGAAAATCCCCTCATGGATGAGCAGAGGGATGAAGAACTGAAAGTATCTTAAAACTTCTCTACACATACTTCAGATCTCTACAAATGGTCATTTGTTAGATTGCACAGCAGTGTCAGACTCAAAGCTGCAACAATTCTGTGTAAACCACTGAAAGCTCAGGAATCAAAATGTGCTTCAAGACCAAATCAGGACCAGGATCTTGTTACTGACCATACACCACACTTTCAAGAAACACATAAAGGCAAACATGTCTTGTGTCTGTGTATTTGGTTTTCCACTTTTGGTTTTTTTTTTTTAAAGTTAGGAAGTGCTTACAATGGGAAATACTTCTTTGCTGGAACACAAGATGAATGACTGTGGCAAAGCCAGAGCCTGGAGTTTTGTTCTGCCATCCTCTTTGACTCTATTACCAAATGAAATTATAATGAGAAATTCAAACAGATTTTAATACTGTCATAACAAAATGATGTTGGTTTGGGTTTCTCTAAGGGGGTGGGGTGGGGTGTGTTTTGTTTTTTAAATGGAGGAGGCATTCCCATCTTTATAAAAAGAAATAGCTTGGATTCAAAAGCAAGAGTGAGCTAAACCTTTTCTCTCACCAGGAAGAAAGCACTTGCTTTATTCCAAATTACCATTAGTCAGAGGCTTAACGTGCATCTTATACCTACAATTATCATCTGCACAGTTTGCACAGGCCAATCTACCAGGAGCACCTCTCAAAACCCTTATAAAAATAAGATGGAGAAATGGAGGCACAGAACATCCCAAGTTAAGCTCCTCAAGTCAAGACACGCAGTCTGAACTAACAGTGAGTGAGATTTCCACCCACCAGCCTGACTTCCAGGGCACAATCAGTAGGCTCTGAATAGTTTACAACTTCCAAAGTGTTTCTCATGATGTGATTTAAATTTATGCCCACACAAGCAGCCCATCCTATAAATGTCAAGGAAACTGGAAATAGGAAAGGAAGAGCACATCGAGAGCAGGAAAATGCTAATTAATTTTCAGTGTTAGGGGAATATATCTAAGAAAAAAACCAGCACTGCTGCATGGGTAAGAAAACACCAGCTCTTCAAGAAAGCAAAAGTTACATGTGGGGAAGAGAAGAAACAACAGCTCCTAACACCACTTCCTGCCCCAATATGACCCATCTCCCCTTAAAATTCAGTTTGATAAGTTAATATTTTCAGAGGGATTTGTTTCAGATGCTCTGAGACATGACAAAAAAAGAATTAAAAAAAAAAAAACCAGCTGTAATAACCAGCCTTCCTCACCTCTTCTTGGATGTACTGGAGTAAAAATGGAGATGCTCTCAAGTTATCAACTGGAATATTGAAGAAACCCTGAATTTCCTTCTGATGTAAATCCATGGTAATAAGATGAGTTAGTCCTTTAAAATAAAATAGCAAGACATACAGAGAAGCACATCAGGAAAAGTAAGAGAGAACAGACACTTTATTTTTCTTAGCTTCAATGCTGTTAGAAAATTTCTAAGCTGCATGAGAACACTGGGTGAAAACACATAATAAATTAATTTTAGTCCCTCTTAAGCACACTGGCATTAACATGTTTTGAGGCTTCTACAGTGACTTTTTTAAAAGAACCTCAGAACACTGCACATAACTGACTCTGCAGTGCCACACTGAGGCAGGCAAGATCCTTCTCACTGGACACGGGACAAAATGGAAGCATTGATTTGTCCTGTGTCACACAGCAAGACCCTGGCACACTCATTAGTTCTGAACTCCTGAAAAATGGGCCAAGCTCCTAATCAAAAACCACTTCTCTCAAAATAACAGCCCAGATCCCACAGTTTGTTATAACTGCCTGCTTTTTTCCCAGGGATGGGAGTGAAAGGAAAGAAGTAGAAAATGTGTTGAAGGCTGTGAAAATGAATAATCTCATTCTCCCACATGGTCTCAGATGTAAAGGACAAAGTGCATTCATCCAAGAAGTAAAAAACAAGACAGAAATGACAAGGCACAACTGTTCCAGACTGTAAGAAAGGCAAAAGATTGTATAATGAGAGGTGGATACCAGAGCCCAAAGCAGCTCAGCCCAGCAGACTCATTTTGCCAGCTCAGTACACCTCAATGTAAAATGGCTGTATCAAATTTGGGTTTTTTATGAACTCATAATTTGGAAACATTTCTAATTACACTCTCCTTTTCACACAGGTTTTAAACACATGAAAAGCCTGGCAGTTATTTTTAAACAGAGTCCAAACTTGTGTACAGATCTCTGTAAACCTGGAAGCTGACAGCAGGAACCCCCCTTGCTCTGATTTAAGGAGAGCCACATTCTTACCAGCTTTGCACATCATGGAGGCCAGCAATTTGGAGACAATGGAGCCCCTTTTCCTCATCTTGCACTGTTTGCTGTAGGGGAAGTAAGGAATCACTCCAATAATGCTTTTGGCACAGGAGGTTTTACATGCATACACCATGATCAGGAGCTCCATGATCGTGGTATTCACATCCCTGCAAGAGAAACATCTGCTTCTGTAGCTGGTGCATAAAAATCCTCTGTTCACCACAGTATTCACACCCAGCAGAGATGGAGAGGGCACGTTTTTAGAGAATTGGACATCAACTAAGATCTGTATTTCTGCTGCCATTAAAAAAGTCTTAGCATTTGTAAAGTTCTTTTCACATAACATTAAAGAATTTCTGAATCACAGGACACATTGCCCAGGAAACATTCCTCCTACATCTTAACTTTGTGATGGTGCTGGAGACAGGGAGCTGAGAAGAGAAGAATTTAAAGAGATTGACATAAGCAAAAGAATACACTTAGGGAAGGAATGCAGAGACCAAGGGGAAGGCTTTATTGATATAGTCACTAAAAAGTAGAATTGTAGAAGCTACCTTATGCCACAGCTGTCTTTGTGTACATAAAAAAACCCAACAAAACCAATACCAAAAACCCTCCACAAGCCTCTATCTAGTTAATATAAGCTTATTACACTACATCACAAAGACAAAAGGTGATTAAAAATGAAGATCAGAAGCATTGCTATGGACAGCCCACATCAAATGCCAGCAGAGTTACTCACTTTGAAACTGTTTGGATGATAAACACATCCTTTCCTCTCACAGACTCCTGAATCTGCACTCGTGTTTCTGCCAAGAAGAGAAAGATGCAATATTTGCAAGAGCAAAACTCTTTTTAGAGTCTAAGAAAAGGGGAACCAAGATATTCAAATCAGTGTCAGGTGCATTTCCAGTTTTGCTAATTAAATGCTCACCTCTGTTTGGCTCTTGATAAACCTGAACCTTCCCCATCTCAACTCCCAGGCGCCTGCAGGAACAGAAATAAGGTAGAAGTCAATAAGGGAAGAGGAAGGGCAAATCAAATGTAAATCCCACATAATGCAACAGTGACTGGAAAGGGTGCATTCCATGGGAGAAAACCAAGGAAAGAAAATCCCAAACCATAAAACCAGTAATTACAGTGAACATCTCTTTAAAAAAATCTACATTTCCAAAAGCTGCACTGCAGCCTATGCTAAACTTATTTTCCAGTCAAGCTCAGAATAAGCAGCAGGAGAAAGAAAAAAGCTGCTGTAAAAATCTAACATTTTGTAATTTTTAATATATTTCTTGCCCTGTATATATACACACACATGTGGCAACATACATGTGCACAATACTTAAAAATACTGCTTTTAAATCATTCTTCTCTGCAGAAAAAAGTCAATGCAGAGTGAAGAGGAAAGAGTAGCAAGCACTATTTTATGGATAATGGAAGAATAATATCTGCTGCATTTATTCCTTGTCAGCATTAGCTAGACCCCAACACTACTGCACTCAGGCCCAAATTCTTTCTACACGTAACCTGAGTTCCTTTGCACTCCCCTTTCCCCTCCTATCACACCTAAATTTGGGTAAATAAGCCTCTGCAAGAAATCCATCTTGTCTAATATTCCCAGCAATCTTATGCATCCTAATTAGCACATTAAAAATGTACTCAAGTCCTAAAAGTTCTGCCACAGCTATTAATGGATTTAAGCTAAAGAAATGTTCCCATCCAAAATATTCAGAGAGCAGGAGGGATGTAGCTTTCCTGCCTAAAAATATCCCACTACAAGGAGTGAAAATTCTGCCATGATGATTTAACACTATGCAAACATTAATTATCCCACGTGTTTCCTATCAAATGCTGCAGCCAGTCACAGCCTGCTGTGGAACAATTCAAACACAAGTTACTCTCTCTGTTATTGAGCTGTTGAATATCCTCTCCAACAGAGCAAACTCCATATTCTTGGAAATCATGGCAGTTTTCCCATGAAACTTCCCTTAAATAGGGAAAACAAGTGTCCAGTAAAACAAATCCCATCAGAATAACCCCAAGATTAATGGGAAGATTCCCTGCAGACTTGACTTACTCAGCAATCCTCTTGGACAGTTCCATGCACGAGGAATTGGAATTGGCTGAGAACAGCACCAGCCCACCCTTGGTGATATTCATGATGGCCCCAAATTCAGTTGATGGCACACAAAACATCAACCCTAAGTTGTTTTGCCACTTCTAAAAGACTGCAAGAGATCAAAGCATTTAAATCCATGTTAAGAAACAAAACAAAACGAAACAAGACACACATTTGCTCTGTTTAGAAAGCGTAGTCTCCCAGAACCCTGGATATTCCAGCATCCTTAAAGTCTGTTATCCCCATTTAACAGCTTCCCTACAGCTCTCCAAAGATCCCCAAGACAACCTTCTAGCACCAGGATTTTTTTCCTTTTTAACTGTTTTCCTCAGGCTATCATCCAGTATTACTGATACTTTTTTCCATCACCTTGTCCAGTTCATTTTCCAGAACTGAGCAACGTTTATTGACTTTCCCAAAATCACAACGACAGTCTGAGGTAGAATTGAGCTAAAAGAGCTCCTGGGCCCTGGCTAGAAGAGGCTATTTCCAAAGCTGAGTCTCTTCCCATTACTTTGCAGTAACTTATAAACTTACAAATAAGGATGAAATGTAAGGAAGAATTCAGTAAAGCTGGCAGCTGTAAATAATGACCTCTTGCACAGCAAATCCACTTGCTGGAGCAGCTGTTGTCATTCTTTGAATGCAATATTTTTCCTGTGAAAACAGGAAAAAAATATCAGGAGGAAATCAGTATAATTTGTTTTTTTGTTTCAAATAAAGGCACAAACCACTAATCTCACCAAGGACTTGATGGGATTCCAGGTTTTTATTATTCTTTGTAAATCACATTTTCATGGTTACTTCTACTGTAAAATTTTAGTTAAATAAAATATTTAAAAAAAAATAAAATCCCATTGACCAGCAGCCCGGGTTAGATGGAAGGAATATTCAACTCAAAATCCTGCTGCATAAATAATCCAATCCCTCATCATCCATTTCAGCATTATGTAGGAGACTGGAAATATGAAACACAAGTGGCATAATTTAAACCAGAGCAAGCAGAAGTTACAGCAAAATCTGTAACTTTTTTCCTGGTAAACATCTCCCCACTGAGAAACAGAATTATCTAATAGTCACACATAATTGGTTAGAAAAAGCTGATGATGCATCAACTATTAAGTACTCCAAAACAACTACTCAAAGGAAGAGTTTTGTATTTACAGGAACAGCTGGCTAGGTCTGTAATGAAACTCCTTCACACCTCCTTTACAACCAGACAGTCTGGCTCGGTTTAACTTTGTCACAGGAACCCGATTCACTCTTGTGAAGAGCCAAAGTCAAGTCAGGAACTTCTAACAACAAATGTGCCGGGGCCAAGGCTGAGCTGTGCTCGCCTGCCATGAATGAAAACCTGCCTGTCATCAGAACTGTGCACAGACAGCTCCAGCCCCCAGAATGTCTGAATGCTTCACTGCACTAAATCCAGAGGGACACCCAAAGCAAAACCTGCATCCCTCTCAAATTAAATACCTTTAAAAAAACCTATTTCATATCTAGTGGTTCTCTGCTCTGCTGCTCACTCACTCTCTGCAACTCCCAGCTGTCAACTAATGGCCATCATCCATTAAATGTTCATGATGGTGTTCGAGTTCCTCTCAGCTCCACCAGAGCGAAGAACCTCAAATGCTTTTAGGTCTGAGAACAGCACCTGAGAGCACCCTGCTTGTGTGCTGGATGGGAACAGCGTGGAGGCAACTTTCTGTGTTCCTAAAAGCATTCACAGAGGGTTCAGAAGGTGTATTTTTATATTCAGAAGGTGTATTTTTATCCAGTTGTGTGTCTCCTTTGGTCCATAGATTAGGCAAATGAGGAGCTGATTAAGAGATCTGAAAAGATGAGTTGTTGGCTCCCAACTATTGCTGAGGGTGCATTTTACACCACCATATACTGATGTATTTTCAAGCAACAGTGAACACTGCTCTTCATATTAGTATAGGTCAAGGACTTTCTTGTGGATGTACTCCAGCAGCTACAGGTGGGCTATGGCATGTGTGGGCAGGGAAGTTGCATTTCAAGAGTAGTATGGATACATCAACCTTCAAACAGGTGTTGGGATGAAAGCAAGCTCACAAAACTTTATTAGATGTGCAAAGGCATAACTCCACAGCGGTACATGGGATAATAACCCTCTGGTTTGAGGTGGACCAACCTTCCAGGGCTGAACAGAAGCACAGAACAGGCTGCAGCACAAACACCTGCCTCTCCTTTTGGGCTGCACACAATTACACAGACACATCACGATGAGCACAACCATTACTGGGCACACATGGCTTTATGCCTCCATCAACTGAGCATGTCCACACAGAAAGCAACGGAGGCAGGAATAAATGGACGGGATAAGGAACGGACCCCATGGGATGGACGGAATCTGCACCCTCTCACCACTCTCCCCACAGGGAATTTTCCCGTTTCTCCACACTCGCCGATCCCGGTGGGCTAAGAGACCCTTCCAGCCCACACCTCCCTCGGTCCTTCGGATGCTCCAGGCGGGCCCCGTGCCCCCGGTGGATCCCATCCCTCCGCCCCAGAGCGGCCCGGGCACGCCGCCGCCCCACGCCGCTGCCCCGCACCTGTGGCACCTGCGGGCAGCCCCAACAACGCCGAGAAGGGGCCGCCCAGGAGACGGTCTCCATCCCCCTGAGGGAAGGGCGACCTAACCCATTCCTCAGGCGTCGGAACCCCGTGCGGGGAAGGGGGATGTCCTGCCCTCACACAGCCGGCTGAACTGGGCTGAGCGGGCGGCAGCGCCCCTCGCTGAAGGCCTTACCTGCCGGCTCCGGCCCCCCGGCCGCGGGAGAAGGCGGCCCGGCCGGAGGGGAAGGAGGGGGAGAGGCAGAGGCGGCGGCGGAGCTCAGCCCCTCCGGTGCTCCGCGGGCAAGATGGCGGCGGGGCGTGAGGGAGGGAGCGCGGGCGGGCGGGGCGGGCCCGAGGCGGCGCCCCCCCCCTTCCCCGCCGCGCTGAGGGGAGCGGGCGCCATCTTCGCCCTCAGCGCGCCGGGCTCGCGGCGGGGTTTGGAGGCACAGGGTATTAGGGTTTTAGAATAGTCAATGGCCGCGGGGTCTTGGAGTCACGGAGTTTTAGGGGTTTAGAATAGTCAGTGTTGGAAGGGACCTTCAGGATCGTCCAGTCCGGCTGTCAGCGCAGCACCAAACCACATCACCCACCGCCAGATGCGGGTGCCTCTTCCAACACCTCCCCGCGTACCTATGCCAATGCCTGGCCGCACGGACAATGAAAAGAATTTTTCTTATATCTAATCTGAATCTCCCATGTGTCAGCTTAAGGGCATTTCCAAGACCAGCCCTCTCCTCAGTACAACATCTTTTCAGGGAGTTGAAGGCAATGATAAGGGCCCCGAGCATCCTCCAGAGTAAACAAACCCAGCTCAGCCATCCCTTATAAAATACATTTCTAGACCTGTCACGAGCCTTGTTGTCCTTTGCTGAAAAAGAGAAGTACAGATCTGTTTTCCCCCTGTTTAAAAGCGGAAAAAAAAGGCTTTATCCCAAGACACCCATGATAAAACTGCTTTGAGGAACTTACAGTCATCCCACACAGACACACATCCCTCCTTTAAATACAAAACCCAAACACCATGTTTTTTCCCCAGACTGCGCGGTTAGAACCTGTTTTAAATTACACTTCTCAGTATGCCCAAGTTGAGCAGCATTTTATGGATCAGAATTTTAGCTTTTAGCATAAAGCTACAATTCAGGTACTTTCCACTGAAGCTTTTCTCACAAAAAGTAATTAAATTTATTATTCCTGGACTGCAGGGTGCATTGGAGCAAGGCTGATCATCCCAGCAGATATTTCTGCCCACGGTGGCCTTAACATAAAGGAGGAGGAAAATCCACAGGCCAGCTCACCAAACATGCCTGCAAAGGGACCCCATTAAATTCATAATTTGAAACTGTGTTTTTTGCCACTACAAGCTGCATTTTCCACTTTAAATATCACAGGCCAGTGTTTTCCCCAGATTTCACATTTGTTTCTTGCTTCATGCATTCCAAGACTTGGTCATCTCTTTTTTTTTATTTTTTATTTTTTCCAGCAGAGTTGGAGCTGGGGAAGGAGAAGCCCATTTAACGTGGAGCCGTGGAGCAGATGCTGAGCACTCCACTTGCAGGCTCACAAAGCCAGGACATCTGTTAGAAATATGTGAGCAGAGAGGCCACCAAGCCTCTTAGATGCTGCAGTGATCCTCTGCCTTTCCTACATCCTTTTCCAAATTACACTGAGGTGCAAGGGAATAGTCCCATCCCTCATCACCCCCACCATTCCCAGCCCATGTTTTTCTGCTTCCAGGCTGGTGCTGCCACACAGCTGATTCAGGATCACTGACCCAAAGCAGGTTCTTTTTTTGTTTCAGGGTTTTCAGGACAAAAAGGAAAGGGGGGTGAGCTTTTTGTTGGCCTCTTCACAGAGCAGCAGATATTTCTCTTCGCATCAGTCTCCCTCGCAGGATCCCACTACAGGCTGGTGTGGCAGAGGAGTTTAATGCAGAATGACCAGAAGCAACACATGGTGAAGCACTGATCCTTAGTGCAATTAGCAGCCTTCCCCAGAAGCATTTTTCAAAACCCCAGGGCACTCAGAATTTGCTGACTGTTTGATTTGTGCTGCCCCAAATTCGTGACATTGCTTAAGCAAACCACAGGACCAGGAACTAAGTGATCCTGTCTTCTGACCTGTTTTTATAAGGCTACTGCCCTTGTTTTCTTGGAGAAAAAAAAAATCTATTTATTTCCCACCTCTGTCTTCCTGATCAGAGGAACACCAGTTTAAATCTCAGCTCCCAAGGGAGAGGGATTTGTTAAGTTGACAATACTCTATTTAAACACTAAGAGTTCAACAAGCACTTGCTCCAAGATGAGCACGTGGATTTTGTTTCATTCAATTAGCAGCCATCTAAGGAATTCTGAAAATTTGCTGGCTGTGAACACACTGGCTCACAGAGGCTTGTTGTTCTTATTCCAGATGTGACCCTGGCAAAAATAAAACTCCCCCACACCACACCTAGTCCAGCCAAGGTGAAGGGCACTGCTCATCCAGCACTGGGCTGGACGACAGCCTGCATCCATCACCTGGGAGAAGATAAATGCTGCTGTCACCCCAGCTCCTGAGCTCCATCCATCACTGCTCAACCAGGTTGGCTTTTGTTTGTTTGTTTGGAGTTGTTTCTGTTAAAAAAAGAAAAAAAGTGGATATTAAAGCTCACCTCCCAAACCAGCTGACAGTGAGAACCATCAGACACGGTGCACCAGAGAAACACTCTGATTTCATCCTGACAGAGCCCTGTGGATAAGTTTGGTCTCTCCCAACAAATAAAGGCATCCCAAAAACATCCTCTACCCTACACAGCCCCTGTGAGCCTGCAGGCAGGTTCTGCAGCACACAGAGACCTCCACACTGAGCACAGACCAAAAGCCATCACCTCCCTGCTCCCCTGCTTTCAGCTTTATTGCCTGGGGGAAAACTGTGTCCAACTTCCAGCAGATTCTGCCTTGGATACCACCCAGCTAGGGAGACAGAACCCAAAACAACTATAAATGCATTTTGGAATTGATGGAAGGTGTAATTTTATCATATCTTGGGAGTGATCTGGAAATAGCATTCCCCATGCCTGGAAATAAAGTGCTTTAATAAAAGTCCTGGAGTAGAGAACACATCTTCTCTGTGTGAAGGGCTGTGGCAGCAGACAGCACTCATTGCTTTATCAAATATTACTGCTTGGCTGTCTGTGGGAAACAGACACAGACTCATTTGTCACAGTCCTGTTCCCCCTGAGTCACAAAGGACTCCCTGAGTTCAGGGATTTTTTCCTGTTTCCAACCGCGCTCCCAGTTCCGGATCAGTCTGTAATGTTTAACAGATCTGCCACATCAGCTCCAGCACAGACACAGGGTTATCTCCAGCCAGCCTCCCAACAAGGGGATGAGAGGTTTTGTGGGAATACCTGGAGTGTGGCAGGTCCTGCACAGACAGACAGCTCGAGCTGGATGTCAAGGTGAGGGTTTGGACAAACACGGCACCAGCACGGTGGTGGTGTGTCTTGTTTGGTTCTCAGATTCCCTCTGCTTTGCTGTGCGTGGGCAGCTCTGTCCTGCAAAGTCTGTGTGAGATCCTGTTCACACCCATCACCTGGTGTTTACAGGTGTGGTTTGCCCTTTAAGCAAAATTGATTGGACTGCACAGTGAAACCATGTCATTTTAGGGAATTTGAACAGCTACACAGTCCATGACAAACACGAATTAGTGCTCTGTTCCTCTTTGTCCTGCTGACTGGGTCCCAGCAGGATTTGCCATTTGCCTCACTAAGCTGCAGCTCCTGTCCAAATAGCACACAGGCACCATGCCCTGTGCAGGCATTTAGTGAGCACACAAGGGCTTGACTTGGCCACTGCAGAGCAGCTCAGAGGATTAAAGCAGAATTCAGCATATGAGAGCAGGTCCTGTGCTTTGCATGCACAACTGTGGGGTGCAAAGAAAAATTTGGTACCAGCCTTGGCTCATGCACTAAAAAGGAGCTGGAAGAGGTGTAGGGAAGCAGCAAAGTGTGTTCTCTGTCCTCCCCAGTTTGGTTCTGACCAGGACCAGCAGCAGATTAATGCTTGTACTGGGAGTGGGACCCTCACCCAGCTGCTACACCAAAAAAAGGCTGAGCCTTACTCAGGCCTCTTCAGCCCACCCCACCCCACTTACTGACACTATTACCACCATCTCCTTCACAGAGAATCTTTCTACCAGATCCTCTCCTCTAATTCACTGTATTATTTCCTTCCTGCCTGGTTTCAGCAAGCGCTGGAAGAGGTTCTGCTCTCAGACTTCTGTATACTGCCTTTGACCTTATCAAACAAGTTCAAGAGTGGGACACTTAAAAATTTTACTCACCAGGAAAGTCTCACCAGAGGAGAGGCGTGGGGACTGGGAGGCTTCCCAGAGGCTTTTATTGTCTCATTAAGCTCTTCTTAATGAGAATTTCCTCACCTGCTGCAGTGTCCCTCCCATTCATTTGCATTCACTATCCTGCTGCTGGTACTTTCAAGGCTCCCACTCCTTCCTCTTTCCTCATAACTATTCTGAGCCCATTTTTTATCTCCCTGATCTCATCCAGGTCCCAGGGAGAAAATACTTTCTCCTCTTTTGTTACCGCTTGCCACATCCTCCTTGGCTGGTTTCCTCCCTGACATCTCTGCCTCCAGAGTTACCTGCAATAATCTCTCCTCCAAGGAAAGTCAGCAACAGCTGCTCGTGGGGAGATCCCTGACTTAAATGCTCACTAAAAACTTGCTTGCTCTCTCAGTAAGGCTCCCCATGCACAACCTGAACCACACACACCTCAGTGCCTGGACCCCAAACCCCGCAGTGGCTCTGCCCACCCCAGCCTGCTGTTTGTAGGGGAGGGGCTGTTGGATCTGCCCCTCTGCAGGGCCAATGAGGCCTCACCCCAGCAGGGCAGCAGGTTCAGCATCTTTCTCAATGACTGCAAATACTGGGGGGTTCAGGCTGTTCCACTCCTCCCATGGCATGTGAAAGAGCCTTGACAGCGAAGCTGCGTCAGAGGGGGCAGCAGCTGCCAAAGCAGCCATTCAGCCTCCTCTGCTTGCCTCTTGGAAAGTATTTCCCCCTTTTTTTCATTCAAGCTTTTCTAGATAAGGATATGGCAAATGGAAATATCAGAGGGAATGAACTGCCTCCTAGTTGGGAATGAGGGACTGACAATTATGCCAGTGATAATGAGATAGTCTGAACATGAGGGAACTCGATACAATGGGAGATTTATCTTGGAAGCAGTCCCGTGGCAGCCTGGCCTGTCTTGCTGTCAGCACGGTTTCCCATTGCACAAAGGGCAGGGATCAGAATCAGGATGACAAATCCATCTCTATCCCAAGCTCATCCTGCTCCGTTACCTACGGCTTTTCCAGTGGTAATTCCTTAGATCATCCAGATGCTCTGCTTCACTTAAACCACGTTGTCCCATGGGAATCTGTACACACCTTGGATCTCCAAATGACCCAGAAAATTGCTTTCTTTCCTACCATAAACCCAGTCAACACTTCAAATCCTGACCTTCAAGGCTGCCAGGCTTGAGGAGAGAGGCAAGCCAAGAGTCCAAGGCCTTGGTCCAACACCCGTGGAGACTCTTGTCACAAGGAATTATGTGGACTCTGCAAACAGATAAGGAAAACCAGAAACAGCAAACCTGGTCAAGCAAAACCTTGACATGGCAATCGATGCTGTAGTTTACCACCAGGTGCAGGTAAATAGCCCCAGAGTTACGTGCTGCATGGCAAACATTGCAGTTTTATCTGCATGACAGGCAGCAATTTGTGGCAAAGGTTAAATCTGTTCACTCAAGCTTGATGTATGGTCGTCGTGTTACATTCCCTGTTCTCAGCGGGTTTGTGCATGAATAAGTGCATGTGTGCCTTCAGGATCACTGCCTTCATTCAATACTGCACAGCCCAGCAGACCCATAATTAATCCCCAACATGTTCAAGTGACAGCTCTCATTCGTAACATCATCCATACAGAACAGTGAGGTGTGTGTAAATTCCTACAGTCCAGCTGGGAGTCAGAGATTTTCCACCACTGGAGCAGGGAGCCTCCAAGGCAGGTTTCTGACAGGACGAACAGGACAATTGGAGGTTGGACTAATCTACAGGTGAAATGGGTAGGGCAGGAGAAGGAGGTGTGATACAGTCCCTGCTCGCTCAGCTGCCGAGGATGGGCTGGGAATGACAACACCTCCGTGCCATCATTCCCTGTTCTGTGACCGACATTTTCTACTCGCAAAAATCTAGGAGTTCCAGAGGCTTATGAAGCCTGTAAGAAAGTCCCCAAATTCTTCATCCTGAACAGCTTGCAAACATGAAGTTTGGCCAGACTCAGCTCAGCCACTTCTTTCTTCTCCCAATCACTGGAGAAGGCCTGAAACCCCAATAAACCATTACCATGGTCTGGCAATCAGATCTATGTGCCCCAGGCAAATCCTCACACCCAGCTCATGTCCTGTCTGCCTCACTCATAGAGCTGCTGCTAATACCAGTGGTTTGTTTCCAAATTCTAGATAATTAATCTTTTTATCTGTTTGTTCTCTTACCAAAGATGAACCTGCTCGGTGATGGTTGGATCAAGTGTTTTATCCCACAGGCAACACAACAGGATGGGTATGTTTTACACAAGTTTATTTGGGATCAATATTCATTCACCAACAGCACAATGTATCAGATCTCTGCTATTTAAGAGCTGGAAACATGTCAAACACAAACAGAGACAAGCGTTGCTCAGAAATACATCAAATCTGAGTAACAGCAGCACGACCACTGATTTGTCCTGTTTGAGGAGAGAAAAGAGTGTCTTACTCACTATTCCATTCCCTATAAAAATACATACAGCCATTGCATTTAACCCTCTTTCTATAAAGGCTCCATACACGAGAGTCAAAAGGCACAAGGAGGAAAATGCTGCTACTTTGACCCACCTTGCTGCAGCTCCAGAGAGTTCTTCCATCCCCATTGTGTGTTAAATCATAGCATATTTGAGACATCTCCAAAACACAAAATCACACCTCGTTAGCATGTGCAGCCCTTCACAGTCCCCAGTCCCGTGATTTGAGCTCTGAATGAGGGAAATTGCAGAGAAAACAACAGTCCCTTCCACACCAGCCCCTGCTCAGACCCTCGGGACCTCCACTTCCGAAGCAGACCTGGACTTGCGCCGGCTGGTCAGGCTGCCCAGGACCGACTCCTCGCTGAAGGCCCCTTCAAAGGTCGACAGGATGGACTGGCGAAACTTCTCCTTGAAATCCGGCCCCACAAAGACGTACAGGATGGGGTTGATGCAGCTGTTGAAGAAAGCGAGGCTGGAAACCAAGGGGATCCCTATGTAAAGGGCCAGTTTCATCTCATGGCTGGAAGAGTTGTTGGATATTTCCAGCAAGGAGAAGACGTGATATGGGAAATAACAGAGGAAAAACGAGGCTGTGACAGCAATGATGATTCTGTAGGGCTTTGCAGAGTTGGCCAGCTGCCTTCTTTTCAGCTTGACAGCCACGACGCTGTAGCAGATGAGAATGACCATGAAGGGGATGAGGAACCCACACAAGAACCGCGTGACGATCATCGCTTTGTGCCGCATCCTCCACAGCCTGCGCGTCGCCTCCGACGCGTAATCGTCAGACAGCGCGAAGTTATTGTAACAGCTGGTGACGTTCCTGGAGCTGACCACGGTGTCCCGAAAGACGAGGTACGGGGAGCTGAGCAGGACAGCCAGGAGCCACGTCCCCAGCGCGATCCTGGCCGCCAGCTCCGGGCTCCTGCGGTTGTGAGACCAGACGGGGAAGGCCACGGAAACGCAGCGGTCGATGCTGATCACCGTCAGGAGGAAGACGCTGGCAAACATGTTGAGGAAGGCCATGGTGCTGTTCAGCTTGCACAGGAGCTTCCCAAACGGCCAGTGGAAGCCCAGGGCGGTGTAGGCGATGCTGAGGGGCAGGAAAAAGGTAAAGATGAAGTCAGCTATGGCCAGGTTGAGGAACCAGATGGAATTCACTGTCTTCTTCATCTTGAAGCCTGCAATCCAAATGACGAGGCCGTTCCCTGACACGCCCAGCAGACAGGCGATGCTGTACACCACCATGGAGAGGACGTGCATGGTCTTCTGCAGGCCAGAGTAGTAGTCATGGTCAGTGGCATTGTCAGGCTGCTCCGTGGGGCAGCTGGCAGAGAAGGGGGAAGGGGAAGAAGAGGTGCTGTCCATCACTAGCAAGCCAAGACCTGAAATCACAACAGAGCTGTTATCTGCAGCTCGAGAGAGGTGAAAATCTTTGCGAGCAACTGTACACAATATGTGTATGAAAAGCCAGATTAGATAAATGAATTTGTAATTAATATGAAGTCCTTCTCTATACCATGTGCAGCTGCACCTCACAGACCCACCTCCACCAGAGAAACCCAAATTTTGCTGTTGATGTCAGTGTGTCAGAGCAACACCTTCATCATCAGCCCACAGCAGCAATCCAGCATGGACCAGCAGCAAAACCATGGAAACCCAGATCCCCCACTGTGACCAATCCTCTTTGGATGAGCAGTAACAAATCATGACAGCAAAAGCTATTAGAATGGTAACAATGATATTAACAGACCAAGCCCCTTCCAGGGAGGTGCAGACCAACACCTGAGCTATATCCAAGTGCAACCATAGGCCCTTTGCCCACCCTTCTCCTCATCTCTCTCCTGTTCGTCCTGGCACTTGCCTTGGCAGGTCCTGGCAGGCTCACGGCGCTGATCCTTGGCTGCTCTGCCCACAGCGGGTGGTCTCCCCTCCTGCCTGATCCCCTTGTGCTGCTCCTCTCCAGGGTGACTCACACTGCCTCACCCCATTTTCCCGTGGCTTGGGATCACGAGGAATTTAGTAGGATCGCTTATTCCCTAATCTTCTTCCTCAATTTGTGGTGTGTTGATTTAACCCCTGAAGCCCCAGGGGGTGCAGGATCCCTGGGGCTGGCTGGCCAAGCCCACCCACTAACTCAGATTTGATGAATGAGGAAAACACAGCCCCTCTCCTGCCTGCACCATTCATCCCCCTGGCAGCTCTCCCTCCTGAGCACCCCAAAATCCCTCTGGGCACCGGGGTGCCCTGCCATGAGGGGGGACAGGGCCAGCTCTGCTCCCCACAACAGCACAACGTGCCCAGCCTGTGCCAGGGCCTGGCACACCTGCTGTCCTGCAGACACGGTCTTGGCCGGGGGGTTCTGGGGGTGCTCCCTGCCCGCTGCGGGGTGTTGGGGTGTCCCATGGGGGCCATGGGGGCCATGGGACACTGGGAACACCGCGGGAAAATGCTCCCTGCCCGCTGCGGGGTGTTGGGGTGTCCCATGGGGGACATGGGACACTGGGAACACCGCGGGGCTGGTGGAGAAGCACCTGGGGGTGCAGGGCAGGCAGGGCTGGAGCTGTGGGTGATGGCAGAGGGGGAACAGCCCAGGGGTGTCAGCACAGGGGTGTCAGCACAGGGGGGACAGCACAGGGGGGACAGCACAGGGGTGACAGCACAGGGGTGACAGCCCATGGGTGACACTGGCGGGCCCCGCCGCGGCCAAGGTCACCCGTGCGCCACGTGCGGGCCGCGCCGCCAGCCCCGCCCCCGCGCTGGCCAATGGGAGGCGGGGAGGGGGCCGTGCGCGGCGCTGATTGGTCCAGATGCTTCCCGAGCGTACTCACCGCCGGGGAGGAGCGCGGCGCTGATTGGGCGCGGCGCGGAGGGGGCGGGGCGCGGCCGGGCTATGGTAGCGCGCGGGCAATTCGCGCGGTGGCGGAATCGGGACCGGGTAAGGAGCGGGGCCGGGACCGGGAACAGGGACCGGGAACAGGGACAGGGACCGGGAACAGGACAGGGAACAGGGACCGGGAACAGGGACCGGGACCAGGGACAGGGACCAGGGACAGGGACCGGGGCCGGGAACAGGGACAGGGACAGGGAACAGGGACCGGGACAAGGACCGGGGCCGTGCGGCGTGGGGAGAGCAGGGCCGGGGCACGGCATCCCGCTGCGGGGGACAGCGGCCAGGCAGCGCCGGTGCCCGCCGCCCGGGGCAGGGCGGAGGGGCGCGTCACCAGCCCCTCGGGAGGTGGGAGGTGATGGAGTGGGGATACAGGGGGTGCAGGACTCGGCGGAGATGGAGCTTCGGGGATGGGGGTCTCCAGGTGAGGTGGCAGCTTTGGGGGGTCTCATCGTGCTTGGGAATGGCAGCTGTGCCCCTCTCTGCTGCAGCAGCCTGGGCTGGGGGACATGCAGCACCTGCATCCTGCTCGGAGCCAGAGCACTTCCCCTCGCAGCTCTTTGCTCAGCCCAGCCCCTCGGGCCGGAGGATTCCCACCCTGCCAGTGAGGCCTGGGCTTGGGCCAGAGCATGGCTGGGCATCCCTGCCCTTGCTGGGCGGCGTGAATGGACTTTGGCAGCTTGGCACAAGGAAACCGTGTGGGATTGCTTAATAACCTGCTCACGGACCTTCACCCGTGCTTGCGGGGTTAATGAGTAAAAAGATGCATTGTTTTCTGCCAAGGCAGCAGCTAGGCTGTTACTCCTTCCCCAAAAGCAGCAGTGGCATCAACTGGGACAGAAGGCTCCTGCCAGGCCTGGGCATCACCCATGCCATGGAACCAGCAGAGGCAGAGCTGCTGCCTCTCAGCTCCACAAGAGGCTTCAGTCAGGGTTTGGGGCAGGACTCTGACCTGCTGGGATTTTGCCAAAGGAAAGCAGCCAAGAGGTTTAAGCGTGCTGGGCATCACAGCGTGTGTTAAAATTGAGATCTGTGGGTACGAGCACTTCACTGCCCTTGAAATTAAACATCAGGCACTGCCGAGCTGGGCGGGGGGAGCTCAGGGAGGCGGGGTGATTGGAGAGTATCAGACATTATCAAAGCACAGGAATTAACAAACTGATCTTAAATCAGCAGGGGAAGCCTGAAGGTTGTGTGTTTTCCTCACCCAACAGCCCGTGGCTGTTCTCAGGGAATACATGGGATGGCAGCAGGCAGCACACAGGGAGGTGTGGAGGCACCCAGCCCTGCTGCCATCCCACAGACTCCCTGTTCCCCTGGCAGGTGACTCAGACCCAGCAGCAGCACCATGGCGAGCTCAACACAGGGCCTCCCCAGCGCCGAGCTCTGGGCCTCCCACAACAAGATGGTGATGGAGCCACTGGACACCAACGACCCCGAGGTGAGAGCCCCTTCCTGGCTCCTGCTTCATTCATCCCCCAGCCAGCCTTGGGGATGCTGACCCTGTCAAGCCAAGGACGTGGCAGGGTCCAAGGCTGGGCTGCTGGAACCCATCCATCCTCTGTGCCCTCTCTGAGACTGCTCGGGATCAGCTGCACCAAGAAGGGATCACATCTCTGCTCTGCAGCACCTGTCCCCGTGGTGGAGGATCCACATCTCTGTGCAGAGATGGCTGAAGCCATTTCTCTCCTCTCCCAAAGGTGCACAGCATCATCAAGAAGGAGAAGCAGCGGCAGAGGCTGGGGCTGGAGTTAATTGCATCGGAGAACTTTGCAAGCCGGGCAGTCCTGGAGGCCCTGGGATCCTGCATGAACAACAAATACTCTGAGGGCTACCCAGGGCAGAGGTATGGGGCTGGGGCTAAGGCCCACCAACCCAAACCCTGGCAGGGTGGGAGAGGAACCCCCCATCCTGCCAGGCCTCACCTCAGAGAAGGAAGCAGTGTCCTTGTGCTGGCAGCAGCCAGGCTCTTCCAGGACAGGCTCTGACCTTCTCAGCCTCTGTCCTTGGCCACACATTTCAGCAGGGTGACATCTGCTGTGGCTGCACAAAAGGGGCATCACCCCAGTTTGGTCACAGGGTCTGTTCTGAGTACTGAGTTTGGTTTGAGCCCTGCCCTGTCCTGTCCTGCAGGTACTACGGTGGGACAGAGTTCGTGGATGAGCTGGAGAGGCTGTGCCAGAAGCGAGCCCTGCAGGCTTACCGGCTCGACCCCCAGAAGTGGGGAGTCAATGTCCAGCCCTACTCAGGTATTGGGGTGCTCAGGAGAGCCAGGACAGTTTGCCCAGGCCCCTGTGTGCCCCAGCATTCATAACCAGCCTGGTGTGCTCTCGCTGCAGGGTCACCTGCAAACTTTGCGGTGTACACGGCCCTGGTGGAGCCCCACGGCAGGATCATGGGGCTGGACCTGCCCGATGGCGGCCACCTCACCCACGGCTTCATGACAGACAAGAAGAAGATCTCTGCCACCTCCGTCTTCTTCGAGTCCATGCCCTACAAGGTAGAGAGCTGCTCCAGCCAGAGCCAGGATGCAGTTATCAAAAGTGTTGGTGCCTCTTAAAAGTACCAGCACCAGGCTGCCAGCACTCCCTCCTGGAGGACAGCACTGCAGCTGACCTTCACACAGCGAGGTGGCTGAACCCTCCTCTTCCTCTCCCAGGTCAACCCCAAGACTGGTTACATCGACTATGACAAGCTGGAGGAGAACGCCCGGCTCTTCCACCCCAAGCTGATCATAGCAGGTGAGGATCACACCTGTACTGACCTTTCTGCTGGCACAGCCGGGGTGGGGGTGGCTCCCTGAAGCCAGCAGCAAACCCGTAAGCCCCTGGATGCTGCAGTGCCAGGAGGAAGGTTGGAGGTTGTGTACTGTGCTTGTGTACAGCCTGCTGGGCTGTCCCAGGGTCCTGCACATCTGCTGGTGTCCCCTCCTCACCGCCTGTCCCCGCAGGTGTCAGCTGCTACTCGCGGAACCTGGACTACGCCCGCATGCGGAAGATCGCTGACGACAACGGGGCCTACCTCATGGCCGACATGGCGCACATCAGCGGGCTGGTGGCCGCCGGCGTGGTGCCCTCGCCCTTCGAGCACTGCGACATCGTCTCCACCACCACCCACAAGACCCTGCGGGGCTGCAGGGCCGGCATGATCTTCTACCGCAAAGGTGCCCCACCTGCCGGGGTGCCGGGAGAAACGCCGCAAGTTAACGCTCCTTCCCGCTCTAAGGGGAAGGAGGGAGGGCAGGAGGATCCTGGGAGTGTCTGGGGCGCTTCTCTGGGCTAATTCTGGCTCAGATTTGAAGAGGAACAACCACTGTGCCTGCTGTGGGCAGCCAGGGGGGTGAAAGCAGCTCGTGGGAGAAGGGTGGCTGTGCTGCCTTGTGACCATGTCCTCCCTGTCTCACAGGCACCCGCAGCGTGGACCCCAAGACAGGCAAGGAGACCCTCTACAACCTGGAGAGCCTCATCAACCAGGCGGTGTTCCCGGGGCTGCAGGGAGGCCCACACAACCACGCCATTGCAGGTATGCAGCCAGGCTGGCTGCCAGCTCCAGCACGGCAGAGGGAGCTGGCAAAGGTGTCCTGGCAGGGCTCTGACCCCCAGCAGCAGCACGGGGGGCTCCAGCTGCCCTGCAGGGCTCACAGCCTGGGCACACTGTGGCAAAAGGCAGCTGGTTAATCCAGCATTGCCCAAGGAGTGACCAGGCCTGTCCTGTCCTGTGTTTTGGCTCATGGCGATGCCACCAGCCTGCGTTAATCCAGCATTGCCCAAGGAGTGAAAGGGCTGACCAAGACATCTCCCATCCTGTCCTGTGTTTTGGCTCATGGCAATGCCACCAGCCTGGCTAGGGGAAAGGAAGGATCAGTCCACTAGTTTGTTTGGCTCCAGTATGGCTTCTGCTGGCAGTGCCATTGCTGGTGGAAGCCCCCCAAACCTGACCCCAGCCTCCCTCTATCCACAGGGATCGCCGTGGCGCTGCATCAGGCCATGACACCCGAGTTCAAGGCTTACCAGCAGCAGGTGGTGGCCAACTGCAAGGCACTCTCATCAGCACTGATGGAGATGGGCTACGACATCGTCACAGGTCAGGACACATCTTGGCAGTGGGATGGGGCTGACCCTGGGCTCTGAGCAGGGCAGCTCTTCAAGGACACCATGGGCAGGGCTCTGTTGGTGCAATTCCTCACCCCTTGTTAGATCTCAAGCCTTCTTTTGCTGAATTTTCCTGCGGAAGCAACGTTTCCCCAACCCCACCAAACCCCTCTCCTTGCAGGGGGCTCTGACAACCACCTGATCCTGGTGGACCTGCGCAGCAAAGGCACAGACGGCGGCCGGGCCGAGCGGGTGCTGGAGCTCTGCTCCATCGCCTGCAACAAGAACACGTGCCCTGGTGAGGGATCCCACCAGCTCTGCCAGCCCCTGCTCCGCCCC